ATGTAGGAAAATATATATATATTATATATATTATCGATTTTTTTACAGAGAGGAAAGGAGAGGGATAGAGAGCTAGAAATATCTATGAGAGAGAAACATCGACCAGCTGCCCTACTGGGGATGTGCAACCAGTGTACATGCCCTTGACCGGAATCGAACCTGGGACCTTTCAGTCCGCAGACTGACGCTCTATCCACTGAGCCAAACCAGTTTTGGCAGGAATTTTTCTACTCTTACCATCTACTATCCCCTCCCCAAACCTTTCTTCTCTTCCCCTCGGCCCCCTTCAAAAGCCTTTGGGTACTTAGCCTGCACACCTTTGAGAGAGTTAGAAACATCGTCTAACTCATCTTCAGCACCGTCTCCCCCCACCACCCCTACCCTGAGCCTCGCAAGCTGCAAACTCTCCAGAGGCCAGAGTATCACTCACCCTGGGGTACACCGCCCTGCCTGGGCCAGGGTTCCGCACGCAGCAGACAGCAGACACCACTGGTGGGCTGGCTGGGTTTCTGGGCTAAAATCCCAAAGGCCTCAGAGCCCACCACCACCCTGTGCACCACCACCCCCTGCCCTGGCCATTCCTGCGGCAGGTCTGTGTGTCATTCCACGCTCCCCTCCGCACACAGAGCCCTCCCGGCTCACCATCCATGCGCTCCGGCGCCCGGGTCAGCGGCCAGCTGAAGAAACAGTCGGGACTGCAGGCTCCGGGGCTGGCCCTGGGCCCGGAGGCTGGCTGCACTGAGGCAGCGGGAAGGGTGACCGAGGGCAGGAATGAAGGTGATGGCCTTGTATGCCTCAGCCTGGCACTCTGCCCTCCTGGCCTCAGTTTCCTCACCTTCAAAATGACCAGCAGCCGGTCACTACGTCCCTTCCAGCTCCACCTGTGATGCCACAACTGTCCGAGGCCACGGCCCAGCTCCCTCCTATTCAGCCTGCCTATCATTTGACACTTGTCCATCAAAAAGTTCTTCCTGTTGCTGAAACTGGTAGAGCGTCGGCCTAATGAGTGAGGGGTCCCGGGTTCGATTCTGGTTAAGAATGTACCTTGGTTTCGGGCACATCCCCAGTGGGGGATATGTGGAAGGCAGCTGATCAATGTTTCTCACTCATCAATATTTCTAACTCTCTCTCTCTCTCTCTCTCTCCCTTCCTCTCTGTAAAAAATTAATAAATATATTATTTTTAAAAAGTTCTTTCTGTTGTCTCGCTATCTCTTATTGTGGCATCGAGCCTTTCCTCTGCCACCGCTGGTCACAGAACCTGAGTGTCACAGAACATCAGAGATAGAAAGACCTCAGGCTCGAACGTGGTCACAGTCAGGGTGACTAGCTCAGTTCAGAGCCTTCCGGGACCCAAGAGGAGTTAAACGAGGGAAGCGGGCCTGGGGAGCTCAGGCCCCTGAAGGGGATGCACGGTCCTCAGGCAGAGCCAGTGTGCCATCGGCTATGGAAGCCCACGCGGTCAGAGCTTTTGATCTACCAAGAAAAGTCTCAAATCTATATCATTGTATAAAATCTTTTCTATAAAATATGAGAAAAATGGCCGAAACCGGTTTGGCTCAGTGGATAGAGCGTCGGCCTGCAGACTGAAGGTTTGATTCCGGTCAAGGGCATGTACCTTGGTTGCAGGCACATCCCCAGTAGGAGGTGTGCAAGAGGCAACTGATCGATGTTTCTCTATCATCGATGTTTCTAACTCTATCCCTCTCTCTTCCTCTCTGTAAAAAAAATAAAAAAAAAAATAAAAAAATAAAATATATATTTTTAAATATATGAGAAAAATGTATATTTTAAAATGTTGGCGTTTTCTTTTTTTAAAAACCATTCTGCCTACCAAATTACACACGTTCTGCCGGGGGGGGGGGGGGTGTCTTTGGGGCACCCCTCACCTCGTCCAGCCCCCTCACCTCGCAGCTGCAGTGGAGAGAGAGGTGGGCAGGAAGTGCCAGGAAGGAAGCGTCCTGCTGCCCAGGCCAGGTTCAGCTTGGGGCGGAGGAGGAGAGCAGGAGGGAGCACACGGAGGTCCGACAAGGACAGGCTGCCGCATGGATCAGGGTGAGACCCGCTGGCTCCCTGGTGGCTCTAGATGTTTTGCCTGAGCACCTGCTGTCCAGTCACCATCATGCCCTCAGCTTTCTCCTGCCAACCCTGCAGCCCATTGCCCTCCATCCTGGGCGGCACACACCAAAGCCTTCCTCCGGGCCAGCCCCGGGGGCCCCCCATCAAATAACGGGGTGTCAAGCTGGCACTGGGGCTCCTCCCCAATGTCCAACTGCAGTTGCCAAAAGCATGGGGAACAGGGGTCTGGCACCAAAGCACTTGGCAACCGTATCTATACCTTCTGCCCCCTCAGACTCTGCCTCTCTACCCGCTGCCAGACAGGCATTTAGCGTGGTTCTGTGTGCCTGCCTCCTACCGGCTCCCTGTTCACAAACGCAGCAGCTGAGGCCCAGAGAGGCACAGCAGCTTGCTCAGGGTCACACAGCTCACAGGCGTGAGAATGGAGTCCAGGGCATCTGGCTCCACACTTCGCAGGGAACAAGGATTCCCTGTTGCTCCTCAGCAATAGTTACCCAGGGCTTAGGATTTCCGGTCCCGTAGCGTGGTGATGTGTTAGCCAGCTCCCCGGTCCTCATCCACGGGCTGGTGCTGCGGCCTCAGAAAGAAACCAGCTACTCAGGCCCAGGTCTGGCTTGGGTCAGGGGATGATGCCAGAGGGCGGGGGGAGGACCAGCGGGACCAAAGGACAGAGCTGCCACATGGGTCAGGATGAAACCAACTGGCTCTCCAGTGATTCCAGAAAAGCCAACAGGAAAACCATAGTCCTGGCGAGACCCGGGGCCCGGGATTGAGTGAGGACAGGGTCTGGCACCTGCCGCCCACAGGTGAGCCCGGTGACATCACCTGCTCGCCGTATACACTCAGCCTCCGAGCTCGGGACACTCAGAGCCCAGCAGAGCCTCGTGTGCCCCTGCACAGGCCGCTCACCACACAGGACGCTCACTGCGCAGGTGGACAGCCGGGATGTAGTGGACACTGAGTCCTGTCCCTGCTCCTCTTGTCAAGCCCGGCGTGAGAAGCATTGGGCCAAAGTAAGGGCACTCGCCCGAGAGCCCACCAGAGCAGCTTGTGGGCAGAGGAGGTCCCACCCCGGGCCACATGCCCATTGCTGTTCCTCAGTCTGGATGTTCCCTGGCAGGTAAGGCCAGGCTCCCACCAGGCCCTGCCTAAGCCTCGGTTCACCCATTGACACAGGAAGGAGTATCATTCACATGCCCTCCCCTTGCCTCCCCCAACCAGCATCCTGGGCCGGGGGAGTGTCTGGGCCTAATTCCAACAGTTTTTAATAAAATCCTCCCCAGAGTCCGATCCAGTGATCCTGATCCCTTCCCCAGCTCTAATTCCCTGCCTGACTCGAGACCTCAAAGGCAGGCGGAAGGCCACTGCAGCTTCTCACCCAGGCCCTCCCCACCAGCCCGCAGCTCGAATCCTGGCCCAGAAGGCTGGGTCATCCTCGGCCTCTGCACATGAGGTGGGGATGGATGGCTAAGTGGCCCGAGGTACCACTGACCTGGTCCTGCGTGGCCATTTCCCGCTGCTTCTTCTCAAATCTGAAAGCCCGGACAGCATGGCATCTGACCTCAGAGCCCACTGGGATGCAGATGGGGCTCCGTCCCCGGGGCCCTCACTGCCAATCCCGGGGGATGGTGCATTGTGCTAGATCTCAACGCACCCTGTGGGCGCCTGAGGCGGAAGCCTGCTGGCTGGCACCTCTCCCCACTGCGGAGGGGCAAAGAGGGAAACTGAGGCCCGGAGCAGCCCCGGGGAGGAGGAGCTGAACATGCAGGCTTCTCACGGAGTGGGAGGATGCTTCCCATCCGTGGGATGGGGAACAGGGATCCTGGGAGAAACCCTCCCCTCCCATTACCAGGTCTGGCCTGCCAGCGGTCTACAGGAGGTGGCCCGCACTGAATAGACATCACCATCACAGTAAGGCTGTCCCTGGTTCTTACTGAGCACCTGCTATGGAGTGGCACCTGGTGAATGCTTTAAATGCATTTAATCCTCACAGCAGCCCATTCTACGCCAGAGCACACTGAGGTCCAGCAGACTCCGTCGCTTGTCCGGGTGCACAGCTAGTGAATGGCAGAGCCGGGCAGACTGGCTCTGAGCTGGCCCTCTTAACCAGAGAAGCGCATCCGGCCCCCCTCCCCTGACAAGGCCCCCCCGGTTCCCGACAGGAGAGGACAGGGGACCCGAAAGCCAGGACCGGGTCCCTCAGAAGGCTCCTGGAGCTCAAGGTCATGCTCTTGGGGTTCCCTCTGCCCCTGGGGGAGAATCTGAGGTTACACACAGTTTTCCCAGTTCCTTACTCTTTGAGTCAGCTATGCCCCCACCTCTGCCTCTCCCCCCCCACACACACACACACACATGCATGCGCCCGGAAGGCACTATGATCTCTGCGAGGATCCCAGAGAGAAAGGTGGCCAACCTGGGGCCCCCACCCCGCAGCACGGCAGGGTCCCCCAGACCCCTCCTCACCCACTACGCCAGCTGCTGCCCCACCCTGGGGCCCCAGCCCCTCTTCTTCCCGTCCCGTTCCCGGGGTCCTCTGTCCCCCTGTTTCAGCCCCATCTCCATCTCGCTGTTAGTGCCCAGCTCTCATGCTGGGTTCTCAGTGGGGACCCAGGAACTCGCGCCCCGCCCCCTTTCACAGAAATGGGGAGGATTCTGAAGCCCCCAGGCCCCTGTCCCCCAATCTCCACCGCCTCCCCCAGACCGTGCTCTCCTCCAGGCTTCAGACTCGGGATGGACAGGCAGGCTGAGCGCGGGGAAGGCGGCCACTCCCCCTGGTGGATGCACCGGTGTGGCCGGCGCGGTAGGAGCTGCGGGAGTCCCCAAACTCTGGCCGGCGGGCTGAGACGGCCCCCGCCGGTGGGGCAGGGTCTGCGGGGGAGAGGCCCTGGGGGCGGCGGGCGGGTGCAGGCGGCGGACGCTTACCGGGCTGCGGAGGCAGAGGCGCAGCGGCAGGAGGCAGGAGAAGAGGTACTTGCCCCATCCGATCACGCAGGAGAAGCACCAGCCCAGCCGGGTCATGCTGGCGAGGGGTGCCCGGGGCGCGGGGCCGCGGGGAGAGGACCGGCCGCCGCGGGAGCGGAGGGAGTGGGTTTGGGGTGCGAGGGGGGCGGGCGAGGAGGGAGACCGGAGCCCTGCCCCTGGCGGGGCGACCCGGATCCTGCGCCCGCCCGGCAGATCCTCCTCTGGATCGCTCTACCCGGAGGAGGAGGAGGGGGAGCAGGAGGAGCACGGTGGGGGCCCAGCAGGGCGACCCCGCGGTGCCTCCATCTCCCGGGGAACCCCTGCGGGAGGCGCGTCCGAACCTCCTCCGCGGCTCCCTCTCCTCCCCTCCGGGAGCGCCGGCCCGGCCTGCCTGCTGCCGGGCTGGGGGCGGCACCGGCACCGGGACTTGGGAGGCGCGGGGAGGGCGCAGGCACCGGGACTTGGGAGGCGCGGGCAGCGCAGGAGCCGGTCGGGACGCGGCGGGGCGGCGCCGGCGTCCACCTGCCGGGCAGGCGCGGCGGCACTGCGCTCCCTCCCGCCGCAGGAGCGTGCGCGGTGCGTGCGTGGATCCCCTCCAGACCTCACATCGCTCCCCAGAGCATAATGAGATTGACTTAAATGGAAGCCACCGGCTTCCACCGCGGAAGCCAAAAAGTCCACGGCCCGGAGGTGCACATGGGGACACTGAACACAGCCTGAGCCGGCTGTCCCCACTCACCGCCCTCCTCTGACCCTGCCCCACCCCACGCCCCTGCCTGGACCTCTCCCCAGCGCCTCCAGGGGAGAGAGCTCTGAGGTCCCAAGCACCCCACAGGCTGGAAGGACCCTGCCTCCGAGGCTGAGCCAGCTTGGACAGCTCCAACGGGAGTCTTCTGCTCAGGGTGGTGGGTTCCACTGCCCTGTCCACTCTGTGCTGCCTTTGCCACCATCCTCCTCTGCCTCTGCTGTGCTCAGAGGATGTGCACAGAATGGGCCTCTCGGGAATATTGTTCGGGGTGGAACTGAGGAGAGGGCAGAAGACAGAGGTGGGAAAGAGGTGCTGGCCTCTGACAGAGGAACGGAGACATACACACACACAGAGGCAGGAGACACGCAGACATACCACGGAGAGGTGCAGAGGAGCCATGAGCTTTGTCTCTGGTTCTGTTGCTGCAGAGAAACTGGGAGGGCAGCCAGCCAACCCTCCTCAGCCACGCGGAGAGGAGAGGAGAGGAGAGGAGAGGAGAGGAGAGGAGAGGAGAGGAGAGGAGAGGAGAGGAGAGGAGAGGAGAGGAGAGGAGGAGCTGCCAGGGCCTCTTCTGCAGCAACAGGCCGCTGGAGCCAGCCAGGTCCCTCCCCCACTCTCCCACCCCCTGCGGTCTGCACGCCTGGGCCCGGCTTCCCTGGGCACCACGTCAGGGCCATTCTTCCTGGAAACGCTGTCTCCCTGACCCCTTCCTCCGGGAGGATGGAGACACACAGCCTCGGGGGGCTGTGAGCAGGGACTTCTTCCTGAGGAGCTGAGGGTGCTCCGCTAGCTGCCCCTGACCCTAACGCAAGCCCCTTCATGCCAGAACCTAGCCCACCCAGCTCCCCGCCCGAGACGGGCAGAAGGCACAGCGCTTCGGAAGACAGTGGGCAGAAGCACAGTGAGGGAAAAGGAAGCGGTCCCTGCCAGTGGGTAGCTGGAGAGAGGAGAGAGGCAGCAGACAGGTTCCTCAGTCCCTCGCAGTCCCTCAATGAGGGGGACACACCCCCCCCCCTCTCTCACACACACACACACACACACACACACACACTCGAAGGCTCTGTATGAAAACTGGTGAGGGGAAGGCGGATGCATCAGGGGAGTGGAGTAGAGACTAGAATTTAGACCCTTGTTACTTAGATTAGTGGATCACTGCTGAAACCGGTGTGGCTCAGTGGATAGAGCGTCGGCCTGCGGACTGAAGGTCCCAGGTTTGATTCCGGTCAAGGGCATGTACCTTGGTTGCCGGCACATCCTCAGTAGGGGATGTGCAAGAGGCAGCTGATCGATGATTCTCCCTCATCGATGTTTCTAACTCTCTATCCCACTATCTTCCTCTCTGTAAAAAATCAATAAAATATATTTTAAAAAATAAATGAATAAATCAATGGGTCACTAATGTGAGCCCATCCCCAGCAGGCCTGCCTTGTCCGTGCCCATGACCTCCGGCAAAGTGCCTGGTGCTGCTGGAGTCTGTCCCAGGCCTGCGGGTGCCTTCTTCCAGTGTTTTTGTCTGTTTGTTTGTTTTGGGGGGGATAGAAGGGAGGGCTGCCATCCCCACAGTCTCCCCACCCAGGCACCAGAGGACATGGATTGTGATGTGAGACTGAGAAATTGGGATTTAGTCCATAGCAAGTGGAGTGAAGTTCCATGGAAAGGAATAACTTGTTGATTTTTTAAATAGAAGTTCTTCAGATAGATCAGTGGAAGTGTGGCCCATTCTAGACTAGAAAGCGGGACAAGATGGCGTTCTTAGGAGAATTATTAAAGCCTTCTCAGCACTTAGAGCATAACGGCCCTCATCAAACATAGAAGGAGGGAAAAGGGCGGGGTGGGAAGAAAGAGAAGGAAAAGATGGCTACATCCAGCCCTTCCAACAGGCAGATCCTGTCAAAGGGGCTCAGAAGGGCAGAGAGTCCTTCATTTCCATCCACTGCCCAGCAGGAGGTGTCCTTAACCAGTGACTCTCCAGAGAGGAAGTGAAGATCAGCAGCTGATGCGGACATGCCTGTCACTGCCTGCATCTTCTCCCCAGATCCCCCTCCAGCCTCTGGCCCACCACGCCCCACACAGCTCCCTGCCAGGTGTCTCAGCTCCTGAAGGTCAATGTAACCACGTGCACAACCTCCACAGGACACAGAAGTACATCCTTGGGAGTTTGGAGCCTCGAGGAAAATCACAAGACCTCTGCTCTTCTTTACCCCAGAGGATTCCCAGAGCCTCCTGGAATGTTTTAACGAGGACCCCTCTGCATCCTCTTTTACCTAAACTTGTATGTTCTGTAGGGGTGAAAGGAGTCCAATCCCAAAAGATTGCCTCTCAATCCCTTTCTCCCTCCGAGGACTCAAGGTGCCAGAAACTGCATCCGGCAACAGGTAGGAAGCTTGAGAACGCTCCTCTCCCTCCCGTCTCTCCTTCCAGGCCCCCTGAGCACCAGGGACAGAGATACAAGGCTCCGTAGAAGGGACTAGACTCAGAGGCTCAGACACAGGGGGCCATGTATTAGACGTCACAACGTGGTCAGTGAGGGATCAGGATGGACCTGCTCCATCAAACGGGCCTCCCGTCAGGCTCAAACTGCTCTTCAGCCCCGGGCGGGCAGGTGCCTGATAACAGCCCCCAGCTCCTCCCTCACCCCTCCCTCCCAGGGGAGCTTTCACAGAGGTTAAAGGATTCTCTGGGAACTCCCTGCCCTGCCCAGGCTCCCTCAGACCCCAGGACTGTACCCCAGCTCTGCTCCCCACTCCCGGGGCCCAGCTTTCTTCCTCTGCCTCTTCTCCTCGGCTAGAGCCCAGGCTGGAGGCAGGCTGTGCCGCGGGCCTGCCCAATTTCTCCTCCATTCCCAGTCCTGTTCCCGCAGCCTGGAGCCCCAGGTGCTGAGTGCAGCCAGGGAGGAGGTTCCAGAGTCTAGAGCCAGGTGGCGTGGAGGCCATGCTGGCAGAGAGGGGCTGCTCTGGGTTTCCTCCCCAAGATTTCCCTGGGTAGAACCCCGAGAGCACTCTTTTCCCTGGAGAAACTGGAGGAGAAGAGGAAACTTCCCAGAGGCCGTCAGCGGAGGTGCCAGGGAGAACAGAGAGCAGGTCAGAGCCGTAGGCCCCTGGGGACAGGCCACAGGAGGAGGGCCCGCCTGGCTCAAGGCAGGCACAGAGCTTCCTCTGTCCCTGCCCCCCGGGCCGCCGTGCCCCCGGCCTGTTTTGTCTGCGGGGGACAAAGGCAGCTCCTGTGAGGGGAGACTGGCTCGGGCATCTGATCGGAGGCTCCGGTCTCGTTTTCACACCCAGGGAGAGGTGTACAGAGGCCGCTCCCCGGGGACCCGAGCCTTTCTCCCCATCAGATGGGGCCAGCTCCGGAGCCGCCTGCTCTCCAGGCACTTTCTCACACCTCCGCCACAGCGGTTCCACCTGCGGCCTGCAGAGGGCTCTCACGTGGGTCTCACCTCCCAGGCTGGGTTCCCCAGGAGCCCAGCACATCCATGAGGGATGGAATTCATCCGTTCATTCAGGGTTAAACTGCCCAACCTTGTCACACTGCCCCCTAGTTTTCTCTTCTTGCAACAGAATAGGGTCCCTGCAGAGCTGGGCTCCCATCTCAGATATGTGCCAATGTCCTCCCAGTTCTCACATCCTCTGACACCCCCACCAGAGTCCTTCCTTGTCTTCTGGTCCCAGGCTGTGTAACAACAGCAGGTGCATTTCTTCATAGCACTTCACTGCCTCTTCCTGATGGATTCGCTCACCTCCTCTCCTACCAGAATGCCCGTTTCCAGGGGACCTTGTCAGTTGTTCACAGTTGCGTGAGTTACTTGGTAGATTGGCTGGTTGAGTGCATGAATGAATGAATGGAGGGAGGGAGGTCAACCCTTTGGATCCCTCTACAGCCCTGGATCAGAGGCCAGTAGGCAATGTCACTTTCAAGGTCCCTGAAATGTTTATACATCCCTACCCAACCTACTCTGACGAGGGACCCCATCTCCATGTCCTGTAATAGCTCCTCAATATCTAGTTCTGATCCCAATTAAGCTTGAAAGAGACCCAGCACCTTCCCTGCTTTCCACCACAGCACACACATGACTGAGGCAAAGTGACTGGCTGGAAAGGGGTCACATGGCTAGAAAGTGGCAGTGCCAGAACTGGACCAAAGCCCCCATTCCTGGATCCTTGCTTTCTCGCTCCACAACCTCAGAGGGGGAGGAGGAGAGGAGGAAGGGAAGAAGAGGAGGAGAGAGGAAGGACAAGGAATGTGTCTCCCAAGGAAGTGATTCCGTAAGTTCTCTTTCTCCCCTTCACCACGGCTAACCGGGTCTCTCCCC